GCTTCCTCAGAGTTTGCATATAAAGGACTTCCCTCCCTGGCCTGTAGTCTGTTGGCTTTGTTGGCTTGGACAATCTGATTCTGGGCTGTTTGGATCAAACCCCTCTACCTCTCGGTGCTGTTTCCCTGTGTGGCGCAGTGAGTAGGATTTAAAAGGGAAGGTGGACAAGATGAGCTGCTCACTCACTGCTTCCACCTTCCGGAATTTGGATTCCATTTGGAGACTACAGGTTGAACAGATCGCACTCCATTTAACAGTTGCAACAGTTGGGGCAGAGGAAAAGTAGGCTGAGCCAGCAGAGCTTTGAGACTTACTTCACCCAGCCTTCTGGTGATGGTAGGAACTTGGGCTCATGCTCATGGAAGGGATGGGTCCCATCCATCCAAATGCCACCCAACAAAAGGGTTTTAGGCCAAGTAAAGCTTCAGCTAGTCTCTCTGGGGCCTTTATCAGATTTCATCCCAGTGTATTTCTGTTCAAGTTGGTCCTAAGTCCTCCATTAAGACTCTTAAGGATTGCCATGCGGCAGGCATGGTGGTGCACACCTTTAATCCCCACACTTGGGAGGCAGAGACAAGTGTATCTCTGGGAGATCAAGGCCAGCCCTGGTCTCCATAAGTGAGTTCCAGGCCAGCTGTGGCTACAGGGAGACCTTGTCTCAAAAAGAATTGCTGTGCAAGGTGGTTCACACTTGAAATCCCAGCATTAAGGACATGGAGCCAGGAAGATCAGGGATTCAAAGTTAGCCTTGAGATTGGGTAACATGAGACCTTGCCTCAGGGATAAAAAAAAAAGCCTTGCTGGATACCTATCATGCCAATTAGACCTTGGACCTAGTGGCCACTTCACCCTGCCTGCTTGTCTGAAATGTGCTGAGCTCTGGAAAGGCTGTGGCTGAATGGTTTTAAATAGGACACATTTCAGCCTTAAGGTTCTTAATATCATCATCAAGTCTCTTGGTCCAGGGAGACCCTCCATTCTTTCATTGTCGTGTCCCTATGATGAAAGTAGAAGCCTGGCATGTGGTAGGTGGTTTGTTGAAAAATAAAAGCTGTGCATGGTGTATCAGAGACATTAAACCCATATTTTGTGAGCTTATCGTTTCGTTGAGCAAATAAGGTAAATGAATAAAAGTAAATGATTCTCTCCCCCTAACATAAAGTGATCCCTCTCAAATGAAGATGAGCACCCCTTAGTTGAGTTTGTCAAAGGAAGCCTTATGGAAAAGGAGGACCGGAGGGAGCAAGGCTCTGCAGGTTGCCATGGCAGCTGTACAGACAGCATCTAGCTTGAAAAAAAATGGCAGGGCCAAAGGCAAGGGAGTGGAAGACCACAGGGCCACCAGGAGCCCATTTTGACCATGGCAGGTGAGTCAAATTTCAGAACCAGAAGAAAAAAGGACTATCAAAGTAGGCTGGGGTTCAGTTACAAGGGACACAGAAGGTCAGGCTCATTAGTGGATTGTATCCTTCAGAAAGAGGAAAGTCACTGAGAGTCTGAGCAGGAAAAAAATTTAAAAAAAGCCTTCACACGGGGGTGTTGCCAAAGGGTTCATCCTAACACACAGGGAGCCTGTTAAGGAGGAGTCTGTGGACTTTGCAAGGAAAAAGTCAATAGATGGCCGTGTGGATGCTGGTGAAGGCCAAGGCTTGACATCTACGGGCTTACCACCATCACCTCTTCTTCCCACCCACATCCCTCCTCAGGGAGAACCTAAATGAGCCGAATGCTGGTTTCACTTCTCTGACCCAGCTGCCTCATCTTCAGAGTGACTTCTGAGAGAATGATAAAGGAAGAGTGGTTTGGAGACCGCCCTTATTGGTGCACTCCTGACTCTCATCATAGATGGATTGCTTTCCATGTCTGGGAACTTTAAGAACTATCTTGTATGGGGCTAGACTACACTCTGGAGCCATGACACATCCACATGCAAAGGCCTTTGCTGCAGAGAGCAGACACTTCCTTAAGCATTTCATATGCCCTGTTTCACTCAGTCAAATATTTAACAGTATCTAAGTATAAAAACGGAGGATCGGGCCTTTCAGATACTAGGCTTCTGTGGCAATGGAGTATCAAAGGACTGAATGAGGTTAAGCTTAGATATGCTGCTGTATAAATTTGTAAAATAGGGGCCAGTGAGATTGGTTGAAGGATTAAGGCATTTGCTCAGTTCACCTGGACCCACATGTAGGAGAGAAATGACTTCAGTAAGTTGTCCTCTGACCTCCACATGCACATCATGGCCCAGGCCCCCCGCCCACATGTACAAAATATATAAATGCATAGCTGTTCTTGGTCGATGAGGTGATTTGTCTGATTACTTCTGACAACAAATGAGACTCCTGTCCTTTGTAAACACCACCTGACACTACTAGTGATTGGCCAACAGTGAGGTCCTTGGGTTGGCTGGCTGGGGTCAGCCCACACTGAGAAGATGGTGGAGTTTGACTACCTAGAGGAAGTTAAAGTTGTAATATTTTTTTAAGATTTGTAAAGTAAATTCAGCATATTAGATCTCACCAAAAATTCCAAGTCTAGGCTGGCTGAATGGCTCAGTGAGTAAAGGCACATGGATCAAAGCCAAACGGCTTCAGTTTGATCCCCAGGACCCAAATGATGGAAAGAGGACCAACTCCTGCAAGCTGTCCTCTAACTGCCACATGTGAGCTGTGGTATATGTACACATACACAGAATAAATTTTAAAACTTAATTTTAAAATTAAAAAAAGCAATTGCAAGTCTACCGCACATAGATAAGCTTATGTACTGCGATTTGTCAGGTTCCCTAAATAGTCAGTGAGACTTTGTCTAACAGAGTGTGGTAGTGTACACCTATAATCCCAGAGACTTGGGAATCTGGGTCAAGAGGATCTCAAGTTCAAGGCCTGCCTCAGCTATAGATCGCGTTCAAGGACAACATATCAAGTCCTTGTCTCAAAATAAAGAACAAGTTGGGTCTGTAGCTCAGTGATAAATGACTTGCCTAGCATGTGAGAGGCCCTGGGTTCCATCCTCAGTACCACAAAAAGGAAAAAGAAAAGAAAAATCTTTGCTTTATCCCTTAGTTAGCTGGATGTGATCGCCCAAGGCTAGGAGGATTGTGTGGATATCCTGAAATTCACCTATGCACAATGATATAATTGTAAATAACTCTAAATTTTCTTTGGTTGGTTGGTTGCTTTTGTGGGGATTTTTTTTTTTTTTGAGATGGAGTCTCATGTAGCTCAAACTGACCTTGAATTTGCTATGTAGCTAAAGCAAGAATTCTTATTGTCAATAAAAGCCCTAAAATCATGCATTCATTTATTACTATAGATAACATTACTTTTCAGTTGGGCTAAAAAATATATATATCCCTATTTTGAAAGTGTATGTAACTATAGAGGTTTTGCAGTATTTATATATAATTAGTTCTGTCAACCTGACAGATCTAGAATCCCCTAGGAGATAAACCTCTGGGTCTATCTGAGGAAGAATTTCTAGATTATACTAATTGAGGTAGGAAGACCCACCCAAATGTGGGTGGTGCCAGAGGAGAGAGAGAGCTGAGCTTGAGTATTCACTGCTTTCTGCCTCGACTACAGCCACAGCAATGACCAGGTACCCACACATTCCTGCCAGGAACTTCCTGCCAGAATGCACTGCACCAAAGAAACCCTTCCTTCCTTTTTCTTTTTTTATAAAATTCTATATATTATTTTTATTTTATGTGTATGTGTGTAGGTAGATGCACCCTGCATGTAGGTAAATGCACCCATGTCATGCAATGTCCGCGGAGGATAGATGAGGCTGTCGGATCCCCTGGGACGGGAGTTTCTGACAGTTGTTAGCTGCCATGTGGGTGCTGGGATTCGAACCCAGGTCTTCTGCAAGAACAGTCAGTGTTCTTAACTGCTGAGCCATTTCTCCCGCCCCAAAACCCTTCCTTAAGTTGCTTTTGTCAGGGTATTTTGTCACAACAACTAGGAAAGTAACTAATCATGAAGACTAGGGTTAACCCAGCCTCCCTGCATGACTAAATTAGTGTCCTTTACTTAAGGCTCAGGACTGTTTACTCTGTATGTGTTGCAGTTTGAATGGAAAGACCTAGTGAGGTCAGAGGTAACTGGGTTAAGCTGACTGGAGTGCAGACAGGGCCTCGAAGGTTTGTTAATACCTCATTAGTCACTGGGTCCTGAAGTTGCTAACTAGTAGTGATTCTTCCCAGAAAACAGAATTCCCACATTCGGACTTAAAGTTGCCTTCTGTCGGCACAGGTCCATCTTCACGGAACACCAAAAGTACAGTCAGAACATGCTGGGTGAGGGGAAAGTGGGAGCTAGAAAGGGTTGGCTGGATGGCCCCTGAATGGCCAGAGGTACTCAGCAGACATGCTTATGGTGTCCCAGACACCTACTTGTCCCATGGAAGGTGCTAGAACCCCCTCTCAGCGTTTGCCCTTTAACTTCCCTTTTCTAAATAAAACTGGGCTGTAGTCGGTTCATTCTTTCTTTTACCTCGCTTCTCTTCTTCAGTATCAGCATCAGTAGTTGGTCTGATGGACATTCTGTGCCCTAAGGGCCTCCAAACACTCTGCTAGGGTTCCCTGTACATGTTTATTGCTTCTGCCTTTTAACTGTGTCAGAGAAGTCTTGTTTCCAAGTTCTCTGTGGATCCTGTGTATAATTCAAAGACAGATATAAAATTGTCCAAAGACTATAGTGTACATGATTTAAATATTTAATAACCTAAGAAAAGTGAGAATTGGTTCTTGTCTGTTATGTTTGCTAAAGAGGATTAGAATATGCTGGATGTGATGGCATGTGCCTTTAATCTCAGCACTTGAGAGGTTGGATGCAGGAAGATAAGTTCAAAGTCACCCTCACCTATATAGGGAGTTCCAGTTCGAGGCCAGTCTGGGCTACATGAGATCCTGCCTCACAAAACAGAGAGAGAGAGAAGAATCGTCAACCCTCATGCTATTGCTAGACTGAATTAATGTTCTCATCTTTTTATTTCAGATTGAGAATGACCCAAAAGAACTCTAAGTTTTGTTCCAGAGCCAGTGTGTATACTCAAGTGCCTGATGGAGGATGGGGCTGGGCAGTAGCTGTTTCTTTTTTCTTCATTGAAGTCTTTACCTATGGAATCATCAAGTCATTTGGTGTCTTCTTTAATGATTTAATGGACAGCTTTGATGAATCCAACAGCAGTATCTCATGGATAGTATCAATATGTGTGTTTGTGTTAACATTTACAGGTTAGTGCATCTTTAACCCAAGCATAATGTGAACACCTGCCTCTTTTGATCTGCACAACTGTCTGACAGGAGTCATTATGTTTATGCTGCCCTTCCCTCATCTGTCCTATTGGACTGTCTTGCCTCAGTTGAGGGATTTGGTTTCAGAGGGCTGGGGACTGGTAAGAATAAAAGACTGCAGTTGCTAAACCACTGCCTTTAGCTTAACACTCATATTAGAAATCTACCATCTGGGGCTTGGGAGATAGCTCAGTGGTGGAGTACATCCTAGCATGTGCAAAGCCCTACGTTCGATTCCTAGCACCACAAAAACCAAAACCAAGATGCCTATAATCTTCATGCTGTTAAGATTGTGTAGAGCACTTTGAGATAGTGGTAGAGCCCAGTTCTCCAAGAATAGTCATTGTGTAAGGAAGCAGCATCTCAAAGTCTCTAGGCGCTGGCTTCAGCAGCATGTGTACTAAAATTGGAGCAGACACAGAAGGTGAGCATGGTCCCTCCACGAGGATAACACACAAATTCCTCTTTTTTTTTTTAAGTACTTAACCATACTTAGGCTCTGATCTTATAAAAAGACATGCTAAGGTCACAGATTAGAAACGGTTCAGTGTGGACATGGAGAAGAAAGCTGGGATGGGCCCAGGGCTACACAGTGAGCCTCTGTATATTAGGGTTCCTCACTCACAGATTCAACCAGTCACAGACTGAAAATGTTTCACTGCTGTTGACAGATGCTGTGATGTTAGGCCTATGATGGTTAACAATGCTCCTGTCATTATTCTGTACTAAGCACAGTATAACAATGGTTTCCATGCTGTTACATTATATTAGGGAATATAAGTGATCTAGAGACGACATAGGCACACAGGAGGTTGTGTATAGGTTACATGCAAATACTGTGCCATTAACATGAACACCCATGGATTTGGGGCTCTTTATGAGGGTCCCAGAAATGATCACCTACAGAGATTACTGCAACAAAAGATGATAATTTTATATGTTTTTTTCTTGATTTTCTGTGGTACTGGAAACTGAATATAGGACTTTGTGCATGTTTGTGCTAAGCAGGAGTTCTACCACTGAGCTACATTCCTAGTCCCAAAATGACAAAAATAAATGTTTTCAGGAGACACTGAACTCCAAACACCTGATTCTCTAAAAGACTTCACTAATGCATCACAGTACGATACTCCTGGGTCCGACTTCATAAAACAAAACAGGAGTCTAGTGCCATTTTTAACATGCTGGCTTCCATTTGTTCTGCAGTGGTCTACACACTAGATCTGGTGTTCATCTGCCTGTGAGAGGCAATGCCAAGGCTTTCCTGAGAGAACAGCTGCTGAACTCACCTCAGAAAGCCAGCTAGGCTGACCATAAACTTCCCTGACTTCATTCTAGCATGCAACATGACCTCTGTAGTTACTGCTCAAGTTAGAGCCTTTCTAAAAGTGTGTTTTTTCTAATCATACAACATCCTAAAAAGGCTGCTCTACTTTTTTTGTTTTTGTTTTTTTGAGATAGGGTCTCCCTGTAGCCCCCAGCTGGCCTGGAACTCACTATGTAGACCAGGCTGGCCTTGAACTCACAGAGATCCTCCCGAGTGCTGGGATTAAAGGCGTGCGCCACATACCCAGTTTGCTCTACCATTTTACACCCACTGGGAAGAGCAAGAATTTCTTGTATTTGTCTTGATACTATGTCTTATAAATTTCACAAAATAGATTTTAGTTCCACTTTAATTCTTAAGACATTTGATTTGATTTTTGTGTCAGAGTCTTGCTATATAGCCTAGGTTGGCCTCCAGTTCTCTATCTTCCTGTTTCAGCCTCTGGAGTGCCACCCTGCTAAGATATTTTATTTTTTAAATTGTGGAAAGTTTCTGTATCCAGAAAGATAATTTAAATAAATTAGAACCAAAACTTTGCATTTGATCATCTAAATAAGAAAATGGAAAAACCTCAAGTTAAGTTTCTTTATAAGCAAAAAATAACAGTATAGTCAACAAGAAATTTCTAATTCAAAATACTGTATCATAAGGTAATTCTAAATTATATCATTCTAGTTATAAAAGCTTAGACTAACATACTGGCTCAAGGCTGACTGACTGCATCTATAGCTACAAGATGGTTCAGCAGGTAAAGGTACTTGCTGCTTGAAGACCTAAGCTCAATCCCTGGGAACCACATGGTGGAAGGAAGAACTGATTCCCACAAGTTGTCCTCTGACCCACCCCCACCCCCCATATACATCTATATATACATGTAATTTTAAAAGTTAATATGTAAGGCTGCATTCTAATCACTAACAAAGCTAATATATAGACTAATTCCAACAAAATTCCTTCCTTCCTACCCTTTCTATCAAGTATAGGTTATCTAAAAATCTATCATCTATCTATAGCTATCTATCTATATCTATCATATGTCTATCTGTCTGTCACCTCTATCTCTGAAATCGAGGGCCTTGTCCATGCTAGGCAAGTGCTGTACCACTGAGCTGCATTCCCAACCTTGTTTCTTGTTTTTAATTTTCATTCTGAAAGAGAGTCTCGGGAAATTTCCCATGCTGGCCTTGAGCTTGCAATCCCCCTACCTCACCCTCTTAAGTGGCTGAGATTGCAGTCCTGTACCACCAGGCCTAGCTCTGTGTTTTTAATTTAATCAAATACTAAAGTAACTTGTGGATGGCCTGACCAGTAGCCACTGCATGAAATATTCCAAGTGTCTTACATCATCCCTGCAAGTTCAGGACTTGCGGGCAGGAATCGCAGCAAAGCCCACGTGGCAGCCTGAGTTCACAGGTCAGTTTCTGTTCCTTTTCCGGCAGCTCCCCTCTCCACAATCCTAAGCAACCGCTTTGGACACCGTCTGGTGGTGATGATAGGAGGCCTGCTTATCAGCACAGGGATGGTGGCAGCGTCTTTCTCCCAGAAGGTCTACCACATGTACATCTCCATTGGAATCATCTCGGGTGAGTGCTTCTCCTGGCTCCAGCACTCTAGATGCTTCGTTTGAAGAACGAGGACGGGAAGGGAGGAAAGTGAATCCAAGTCGTCTTTCTCCTCCCTTTTTTCTTTCAAATTAATAATGTCTTGAGGTCATTGATTTTGAACTGGATGATACAGGCTCCACACAGAAACACACTGCGGAGTGTCTAAAAGGTTTTATTTGATTTAGTGGGTGGGGGGAATCCCATGATATAACTTTTCTTTTGCTCTAGTTTAAAACCAAAGTGCATCGTTTTCAGAGTTCTCTTGTCAGTATTTCATAGATCAGGGTCTGAGCATCCAGGGCCACAAAGGGAGGGTTCTGTGTGCTAGACTTATTCTTGGGCATTCAAGAAGATATTTTTCCCTTTAAAAAGGAGTCTATACATTGATGGTAGGTGATATACGTACGAAACTTGCATACTTAAATTTTTTTATTATTTAATAACCACATAAGATTAGAAGAAGCATTTCATTACAGCTTTGCATACTTAAAATCTTTAGTTTAGTACATATCAAAAGACTTAGTTAGCTAGGCATGATGGTACATGCCTGTGATCGCAGCACTCAGGAGGCTCCGGCAGGGGGATGGTGAGCATGAGGACAGCATGGGCTACATAACAAGACCCTGGCTCAAAATAAAACAGGAAAAAGACCTATTTCCATGTTTTGGTTGTTAGCCTTAGCCTTTAACAGGCTGTGCCATTTCTCCAGTCCAAAAGACCTATTTCCAAATATAAATCTTATAAACTTATCAATATTTTTTCTCACTATGAATATAAATTGGTTCAGAGAGGGGCCCTTCTGGAAAATAGCTCTTATATCTTAGTGTCCCAAAATAACTTCCGCAGCTTTTGCTTTTTTTTTCTTTTTTGAGACAGGGTCTCATCGATTCCAGGCTGGCCTTAAAATGGCTATGTAGTCAAAGATGTCCTTGAACTCCTAATTCTTTGATTACAGGTGTATGCCACCAGGCCTAGTATTCTGTGGTACTCAGGATTGAACCCAAAGTTTTGTGCATCCTGGGCAAGCACTCTACCAACTGGGCTACCTCCCCAGCTCCTCCAGACCTTTGATGAAACCCATTTTCTTTGCTGTCCCATCCCTGCAGAATGAATAACTGGACTCCTAGAACTTAGGGTTTCTACAAAGGCCCCAGCTTTCTGCCCGCATCCTCCCGGGATCAGTCAGCATGTAGTTCTCAGTGGCCTTTCTGATTTTCATCCACAGGTTTGGGGTATTGCTTTAGTTTTCTGCCAACTGTCACCATTCTGTCACAGTACTTTGACAAAAGGCGTTCAGCAGTCACTGCAGTGGCTTCTACGGGAGAATGCTTCGCCGTGTTCGCTTTTGCACCAGGTACGTGAATGACAGTGGTTTATTAGAGGGGATGGGGGAAGTTACTCTGGTCTTGTTCTGCTGACTTTGGCCAACAGTGTGGGTGACTTAATTCTATGCATTTGAAATGCTATTAGCTCACTTCTTCAGCACATTTTAAGGAAATTCTCTCTTCCCACGTTAGGAATTCATACCACTTTCATCTTAGTCCAAGTTTACATAAAAATGGTACACATTCAGTAGTAAAGCTTTCTTAAAACATGCAAAAATAATTCAAAATTATTTAATGATTTGGACTATGTATATTATTATCCCTCTCTTCTTCCAAAAAACCTCCATTAGGTATAGGTTTAAGCTATGTCAATAAAATAAATTTTCTTATATGCATATGAATAATCTCACAGCAAATTTTTTAATCATTGATTCATCTTCCTAATTTAATGCTAATAGTAAATTACAGCCAGGCATGGTGGTACATGCCTTTAGTCCCAGCACTCAGGAGGCAGATGCAGGTGGATCTCTGTGAGATCAAGTCCAACATGGTCTATACAGCAAGTTCCAGACCAACTAGGGCTACAGGGAGACTCCGTGTCAAAAACAGAAAGAAGAAAGAAATGAAAGAAAGAAAGAAGAAAGAAAGAAAGAAAGAAAGAAAGAAAGAAAGAAAGAAAGAAAGAGGACTTATAAGAAAACTAAAATAGCAGACAGATAAACCTTTGGACTCCTCCTTTCTTCCTCTTCCCTTTCCCTTTCCATGATGTTAGGATCCAGCTCAGGGCCTTATGCATGCTAGGCAAGCATTGTTCCACTGTGCTGCACCCCAGCCTGCTACTATTTTTTTTTCCTTTTTTTTTTTTTGAGTCAGGGTCTCCCTGTAGCCCCAGCTGACCTAGAACATGTTATGTAGGCCAGGCTGGCCTTGATCTCACAGAGTACCCCCTGAGTGCAGGGATTAAAAACACATGCCACCACTCTTGGCACATAGATCTATAGCTTCATAGACACACACACATACATACACACACATAGACAAATACAGATCATGTTAATGGTTGGCTTTAGGTGAAGATGGAGTGTATGGGTCCCATTCTCTCTATTTTTCTGCTGGTTTCAATTTTTTCTAAATAAAATATTGAGGGGGGAAGTCAGTGGACTGCAAGTGCCCTGAGGGTGGAGACTGTGCTCTTCAGCCACCACCGGGCACCATGGTTAGCCCTCAAAAAACATTACACGGAGAAAGAAACTTAGACCTATTATGACCAGATGAGTACAAGGCACTTAGAAACACCCACGCCTAAACTAGTTTGCAAGTATTAATTTTTCCAGATTAAGAGGGAAATAAGAGGTCTGAGGAAATCACAGTACAAAGTACGAGAGCCAGCCAGATGACTCAGCAGGTAAAGGCACCTGCTGCCAAGCCTAACAACCTGAGTTTGATCCCTAGGGACCACATGGTGGAAGGAGAGAACCAGCTCCTTCCAGTTGTCCTCTAACCTCCTCCACATGCAGACCTTGGCACACATATGCCCACATACATACATACAATTAAAAAATATAATTTAAAAGATATTTTTAAGAATAAAAGAAGGCCAGTGCCGCTTTCTCACGCATGTGGGGCTCTTGGTAAGCCCATCTTCTGGCAACCAAGTCACTGTCTGTTCTCCTTGACTGTAAGCTCCTGAAGAATCTGAACACAATTTGAAGGTGTGGCTCCGTCGGTAGCATGCTTGCCTAGCACTCATGAAGCCCTGGGTTTGATCCCAGTACCACATAAGTCTACAAGCTGCTGGGGAGGAAAATAGTGAAAAGGCTCAGAGTGTCAAAGCAAGCATGCTCAGGAGAGTGGCCGGCGACCAGAGAAGACACAGAAACGGGGAAAAGGGAAAGTTACGCTTTTGAGTTAGAACTCAGGAAAGCAGGTGGGCTTAGAAGTCAAGATCTATAAGCATTTGCCTCTTACCATATTTATTTAAATTTTGTTTATTTTTATGTATATGAATGTTTTGCTTACATGTATGTGTATGTACCACATATATGCTTGTTGACTGCAAAGGCCAGAAGAGGGTATCAGATCCCCTGGAACTGGAGTTATGGACAGTTTTGTTAGCTACCATGTGGGTGCTAGGAGCTGAACCCAGGTTCTCTCAAGAGTAGCCAGTGCTCCTAACTGCTGAGCCACCTCTCCAGTTCCTTATCTTATTTTTTATTTAGTTCGCTTTAGTGAATGAGTAGGATATATAATGATGCAACTGAGAAGTTGGCAAATTATAATAGGTCAGGTAGTAATGAAATAAAAAATACTCATTTCATTTTTGTGGTACTGGAAAGTAGATCCCAAGGCCTCCTGCATGCTAAGCGAGTGCTCTACCACTAAGCTGTATCCCCAGCCCTGGGGATTTGTGCAGCTTTGAGGATTATATGGTCTCTGTTACAAACACGCAGTTCTGCTGTCTCAGCACAAAAGCATCCACGGACTATGTAAGCAAGTGTGGCTGGATTCCAGTCCGGCTTATTAACAGAAACAGGCAGTGGGTCAGGTTTGGCCTGTGGCCTATTGTTTGATGAACTTTGATGTAGGTTACAGACGTATTCCACTTCTTAGGCCTTTACCTGGAAAACACTGTCCAAAGCTCTTTTGGAAACTCAGGCTGACAATTTTTGTACTATATAAATGTGTGTATTTTCTTCTTATTCAGTCATAAAATGCACCAGATTCTAGAATAAAGGATAGTCTAGAGGACTGGGGAGACGGTTCCATTGGTAAAGTGCCTGCCATGCAAACATGAGGACCCGTGTTCAGATCCCAGCACCCCATAAAAAGCTGGGTATGATGGCACATTCCTGTATCCACAGCACTGGGAGATAGAAACAAGTGGATCCCTGGGGCTCACTGGTTTGGTCAAATTCTAGGTTCAGTGAGAAATTCTGTCTCAAAAAGTCAGGTGGGTAGGACTAGCTGAGTGGTAGAGAGCTTGTCTTTGGAGCATGAGGCCCTAGGTTCAATCCAGTATTGCATTTTTAAAAGGCAGACAGCAATTGAGAAACACACCCAACGTTGCCCTCTGGCCCCTGGCCTCTTGCTCACCCCCCCGACACACACACACAGTCTGGATGCACTACAGTTGCCCTAACTCTATATTAAGTCTATTGCTAAATCTGCATCCATATTTGTCCGGCTGTTGCCTCAGAAACACACCCAACGTTGCCCTCTGGCCCCTGGCCTCTTGCTCACCCCCCCCCACACACACACACAGTCTGGATGCACTACAGTTGCCCTAACTCTATACTAAGTCTATTGCTAAATCTGCATCCATATTTGTCCGGCTGTTGCCTTTTGGGTCTGGAGTCTGTCACTGACCTTGGATTTCTTCTTTGCTCCTGTGCCTTCAAGCCATCACAGCTCTGAAGGAACACATCGGCTGGAGATACAGCCTCCTCTTCGTGGGCCTGTTGCAGCTGAACATCATAGTCTGTGGTGCCCTGCTAAGACCAATTATCATCAGAGGACCAGGGTCACCAAAAATAATCACTCATGAACCCCGGAAAGAAGTGCAGTATATGCTTGAAAATGAGAAAACTCGAACCTCAATAGACTCCATCGACTCAGGAGTAGAACTAACTACCTCACCAAAAAATGTGCCTAGTCAAGCGAACACAGAGCTGGAAGCTAAGGCCGAGCAGCAGCAGATGCTGATGGCTGGCTCCAAGCACAGCCAGACGAAAGCTCCGCTGTTGGACTTTTCTGTTTTGAAAGAGCAAAGTTTCATTTGTTACGCGTTGTTTGGTCTCTTTGCCACACTGGGATTCTTTGCACCTTCCCTGTACATCATTCCTTTGGGCATCAGCCTAGGCATTGACCCTGACCGTGCTGCGTTTTTACTGTCTACAATGGCCATTGCTGAAGTTTTTGGAAGGATCGGAGCTGGGTTTGTCCTCAACAGAGAGCCCATCCGCAAGATCTACATCGAACTCATCTGTGTCGTTTTATTGACAGTGTCTCTCTTCGCCTTTACTTTTGCTACTGAATTCTGGGGTCTCATGTCATGTAGTGTGTTTTTTGGCATTATGGTTGGGACAATAGGAGGGACCCACATCCCACTGCTGGCAGAGGATGACGTCGTGGGAATTGAGAAGATGTCCTCAGCGGCTGGAGTCTATGTCTTCATTCAAAGCATCGCAGGGCTGGCAGGACCACCCCTGGCAGGTAATTAAATTGTTTTTTCCTTATTTATTTCTGTGTGTAGGTGTGTGGTTGTACATGTGCTGTGGCACGCGTGTGGAGGTCAGAGGACAACTTAGAAAAGTCAGTTCTCTTCTACTATGTGGGACCCAGGAATTGAACTCAGGTCATCAGGCTTGGCAACAATCACCTTTACTCATTGAGCCATCTCACTGGCACCTGGCAGGAAGTTTAAAAACACAGAATGCAAACGCTTGCTTACTTTTATGTTATTAGTTGTGCTAGCTTCCTATGTGGGACTGATTTTAAAATCTACTTCCATTTTTACACTTCAGTTGAATTTTAGAGCTCCCAAGATTAGAGATAACAAGAGTTAACCATCTTGGTTTGACTAGGAGGACACTAGACAGCCCAAAATTTAAGACAGTGGGCACAGAGTGAATCAGTGACAGAATTAGAACCCTGCAATCTGTCTGCAAGTCCAAGTTACACCCCCCTCCCCCAGGTATTTTCTGTCATCTTCCCTTATCTAAGGCTAGAAGGGAAGCTGATCTTATCATTCATCTGACTCTTAGGCATTATAATGGAGCTAACTGGCTCTTTGTAACCTAGGCAACCTGGAACTCACTATGTAGTCCAGCCTGGCCTCAAACTCATGCATCAAACTCTTGCTTCAGCTGGGTCATTTTCCCTTCTTAGAGAAGGTGTTTAAGAACTCAGAACGAACGTAAAGGTACTGCAAATACTTAACTGATTAGTATAGAATAGTCTTTGTTGGCGGGATACATAGTGTTTCTTATCTCAGCTCTGATAGGTCCTTAAAATTCTTGTGATTGGAAATCTTGCCTGTTAAAAGATGCCTGAAGGTGAAATCAATGCAGGTCTTCCATTAAGAATAATTTTTCAAAGAAACAGGCATCTATCGGTCCTGTTTCTCATTCTCAATAGGATAGACTTAGCCCGGGAAGAAAAGTCGATACCTTACAGCCTAATTTCACAGATGCTGAGTATGCTGCGTGTTGCTCTGCTCAGTAGTCTGGCAGATTTCTGCCTTTCGCAGGATGTTTCCTTCCGAAAACTCAAAGAAGGGAGGCAAGCTGGCATGGGGGTTCACACCTGTGATTCCAGCCCTAAGGCTGAGGCACGAAGGTTGTGAGTCTAAGGTTGTGAGTCTAAGGCTAGGTGGAACTACACAGTGAGATTCAGAACAGGATTGCCATGTGAAACCCTGCCTCAAAAACAAAACAAATCAGTAAACAAAATAAGAGGGTAGGTCAGGCAGAGAAACTGAGAAGTTTCTGGATTGGATGGGAGCCCAGGGGAAGGTAAGGTGGTCAGGTGTGTTAATGATGGTGCTGACGGTGCCAGTGTTCTCTCCCAGGTCTGCTGGTGGACCAGAGCAAGATCTACAGCCGGGCCTTTTATTCCTGCGCAGCTGGCATGTCCGTGGCTGCCCTGTGCCTGGCCCTGGTGAGACCGTGTAAAAAGGGACTGTGCCAGCATCACCATCAAGGCAAAACCAAGACAGAACACCATCCTGGGAAGATGCTACAAGACACACCTGAAGACTTTCTGGAAATGGATCTTGGGAAGAGTGAGCACAGAGTTCAGGAGAAAATGGATCCAGTATGACCCGTTGTCATGTCACAGTAACTAATATGTTGCCTAGGAAAGGGAGCCCTGGGGACACAGGAGGGATAGGCGCTAACCACTGCTCCACTTCCAAAACCACATAAAGGGAATGTGTGTGAACAGCACTACCAATAGCTCCCCCCACCTTGAGTTTTCCTTTTTGTTTGTTCTTAAGCCAAAACAAAAGCAACCAAACAATCTCCGTATTCAAATTCAGCCCTATTCAGTAGCAATAATGCAAAGATGTGCGGAAGGACTCTGGTTCACATTCCAACATTACAACAGTGCCATGAACTGGCAAAGGTTGTTAAAGCACTCATGTGTGGTAAACTACTATTTTATAAAATGACATCCATCCCAGTCATTGAAATAAAATTGGCCATTCAAAAAAAATTTTTTTTAATCTTGAATCATTTAAAAAAATGCTAATTTTCAGAAATACCAATAAATTATTTTTAAACAATCTGAAAAATTACTGAGGTTTCCACTGACAAACTATGGCCTCTGGATCTTCTAATTATTGCATGGAAGGAAAGCACA